CATGTTTTGTAACTGATACTATTCATGTCTTTCAAATATTTCTATTATTTATTGTATCAAAGACAGAATGTTGGGCTATAAAGATTATTAGGACTCTATGCATTTTTTCAGCTAAAATGGACAACTTGATAGTTATGATACCTTATAAGAAAAGGACCTGGTAGGCTCAACATATGTAGTAAAATATCTTGTGAGAGATCAACATTCAGGTTTCTGTTTTACTGGTTTTATTGGGATATTGTCTGTATTGGGATACTATCTTAATTTTAAAATATTTTCCCAGCTCCATTTGCAAATAGTTATGAAAAAAGATGTTACTCTTCTTTGTCTTTTTCCATACCTACTTTTTTCAGCATAACTGTAGTTTCCTAACAAACTCTACTAAGGATTCCATACAACTGATGTCATACTAGTCACCTTTTGCTGGAGGAACCCATTAGCAGAATTTTGCTGCTGACAAAAGTCTATGAATAAGATTATGTCTGAAACAACAAGATACAATTATTACTGGGTGATGCTTTGCATTAAAATGTGTGGAATACTGCTTTGAAACTTTGAAATCCACTTAGCTCTTGCCTATATCAGCAATTTTGTTTGCTTATTTTTGTAGCAATTATGGGCATTTTCATTTCAGTGATGAATATAAAACAGATAGAAACTACTGAAATTATGTCAGTGTAATATATAAAGCACATTAATATACATGCTTATTTTAGGACAAACAATTCAATATTCATCTTAAAAAAGAGATATTTTTTGAGTGGTCAGCAACACAGTGTTTATTTCATTCAGTGAGATATTGAAAAGACCAGGAATACATATTTGTAATAGTTAAGACAAACAGCATCTGCATTGAAAAATATTTTTTTACTTTTATGAAAATATAAGCCAATATGTTATGAATTTGAGGAAAATTAAGTGCAAAATTAAAGTGAAAAAAAACTATGTTCTTCATACAGACCAAAAACAGTGTAGACAGTATAGAAGCACAGAGGAATACAAAAATAGGTATTTTTATGGATAATAAAATCATTTAAAATTGCATCAAATAGAATCAGAAGGCAACCTTTTATTTAATTGCAGCTGGTTACATCATTATGCATTAAAAGTTTTTTAAAGCATTCTGAAACTATTTGATTATCATAAATCACACTGAGGTTAATTGGACCATGTTTAGGATTTTATGGAAATAAACTCATACTTGAGTTTTGTAAAATTAGACAAAAAACTAATGTTCTTGTTTTAAAAAGTTTATCTTAGCTTTCTTTTATCTTGCTGTGTCTTCATGGAGGACAGGCTCTACTGAAGATCCTGGATGCTTATTCTTTTTCTGCTCAGAACACTGGAATCAGAGTTAGTTTGCTGTTGGCTTTGGAGTGTGCACAGATCTTTTAGATGTGCATACATGGAATCCCTTACTAAATAGTCCTTTCTGGAAAACCAAGTACTACTTGATGTCAGGAAGGAGCAAAGATGGAAAGGCAATTTGAAATTAAAAAAAAAAAAGGGGTTAGCAGAGTCTTTTTGAATGTAGTCTGGTGCTTATCATGTGACATACAAAAAAAAAAACAAAAATAAAAGAAGAAAAATTAAAATCAACCTTGAGGGAACTTGCTGTGGCTCTAAAAGTTATTTCATAGAGATATAATACAAACACCAGAGATGCTTTTATGAATGTGGAATTAAGACATCTATTTTCTGAATAAACCAAATCAAACAAGGAAAAAAAAAACTAGACAACCCACCCCAAACTGAAACGAAACCCCAAACAAGCCAAACTTTTCAGTCTAGAAGGGAAAAGATAGAGGATACAGTGTAATGAGAAGAGTAATTAGAGAAAAATTATTTTATTCACATCTAAAAATGCATGTTCCAGTGTCAGGTCTGATGGGCATATCAGGATTGGTTACAGCTCTTTTAAATATGATTAAAATATAATTTTTGACAAAATTTAACTTTACTGAACATTTTATCCACTTCATATATAAAATTACACTTAGAAAAATAAAGAAGCTACTGAATTATATTTATTCAAGGGATTCACAATGCTGATGAGAATTTTAAGACTTTTTTAACATTTTTTTTCTTTTCCAGAAAGTATTTCAGTTCTCTTTAAGTTATTTGACTTTTTTTTTTTTTTTTTAATGAGTAAAATGTCCCAGGAACAAAAATCAGTATATTTATGTAAAAATGAAAAATACCCATGTTTCTAGCCATTTTTTATATCTGTGGTACCCACAAAGAAAACACTCTTTAAAATTAATTTAGACAAATTCCTGTTTTATTACACAAAATTAATATTACACAAAGATCATATTAGTCTTTCTCTCTTTGTATCTTCATTTCAGTACACTTTTTTTTGCAACTGACATGGAACACTCCACAGTGACAACTGATCTGGGATATCCTCAATATTGCCAATAACATGTAGCAGGCTGAAAAAATAAACTTACTTTTCTGAGGAATAAAAAAGTAATAATTTCTAGGACTGAGTTAGTGAAAGATATCAGTTGCTGAAGAAGAGAGTAAGTTAAAAGTTTTGAGGTAACACTTCATGCGAACAGAGCATCAAGGAAGAGAGTAATGGTACCATGAATGATACAGAAAATGAGTCAAAATCACACACTGGGAAATATTAGGAAAAGATTGATTAAAGGGTGATAGTGATAGTATACTATACACTCACAGAGTCAGATGTTTTGATATAGAAAGGCACCTTGATAGTATTTTAGATGGTTAAATATTTCTGGGAATTGTGGAAGTCTTTAAATTCTTTGTAGATTTTTCAAAAAAAAAAAAAAGGTTGCTAATATTCAGCTGTCCCTATTATTCTCTATGTTAGTAATCTGCGGACATTTTGAGGCACGGTAGTGATAAGCACTACTTTCCTACCAGTTTTTTTTTTCTATTTCCCTAAAATTCTCATGTGCAAGCATAAATCCTGGTAAAAAAAGAGAGCTTGCTTATGTGGGAGAACGCACCTATTCAAACAACAGCCCTAATGAAAGGCAGCAGTGTAAACTGCTGGCAAAGTAATTCTCTCATAGCATGAATTTTCTCTATTTCAAGGTCATTCTGGTATAAAAGTCCTTTGCAGCTTGCTTGCAATATACATCTCAATGAATGTATGTTTTTTATTAGCAAGGATTATTCTTAGTGTCACTTAAGCACATTTGTGTGTGAATAAGATTGCACAGAGCATAAAACCCCTGTGCTAGGCACCATAGTGATGACTTTTCCCTGTCCATGACATGTTACATGGGGCCCCAGCAACAGAGGTCTGGGCACAGACAGGAATGGGATGCTGTGCAGTGAAGCATCTTCTCATCTTTGCTGCAGAGGAACTGGAACACTGCATAGGAGGTGGGACTATGTGAACAGCTCGGTGGGATAGACGGAGCACTGGGTGATCTCTCCTTTCCCTCTAAGTAAAATCCATGCCTGGAGTAGCTTTACCTGATGTGTAGGGTAATTTTAGTAGCAGTACTTCATTTATGCTAAAGCTGTCTGGTTCTGGTTGCTCAGAACTCTGATTCTAACCCACAGTGTAGGGATAAATTTCTCCATATCAGAACAGAAGACAATGGAAAGCATGCAAATTTAAATCACACATCTAAAGGATGGCAATGAAGAGTTATTACTTCAGAGGTGCCAAACAGCTGTGCAGAGGTTAAATCAGACTTACATATTCATCACACATTGTTAAAGAGTCCCATGCAAAATTATTTTTGTCTTATTTTTGGAATGGATGTTGTACACATGGCCTCATCTAATCTTTTGTCACTTTGCAAAACAAAAGCTAATTTCAATTCTAGAAGACAGAACCATCTTCGACTATACAAGCTAACAGATATGTGCTGCAGTTCGTAAAGAGTGCATGTACATTATAAATTTGCTTAGTTGCTCTACAGAGATGCCAATCCTAATTAGGACTTCATTGGCTTTTCCATTGAAAACAGTTAAAATTCCCTAATTAAGCATGAAAAAAATTAATAAAAATTAAATTAAGACTGTGTACATAAGTAAATGAAGTTTCTGCCAAATTTTAACTCACCTTTCAGCCTGGGATGGGGTTTATCCTTCCCTACCTCAGTGCCTTATCCTTTTCAGCTTAGACAAGGATAGTGGTTTGAGGGGCAAAAATCTTGTTCTGGCAGTATTTGTCCATTTGCAGTTTAGACAACTACTCCATTTTGCAGGTCTCAGATTATCATGTAGTTTAGCACAATACAACTCTTGAGTATTGTAGCAGTTGATTCAGGACTTTATTTTCTGAAAATCGTGCAATCCAAAAAGGCTTCTGAAAATGGGAAGGAAAAAAACTCCGGAAGATAGGGCAGAGGACTAGTAGAAACAAAGAAACCAAACGCACAAGGTAAAATGAAGTCCTCTGAGTCTCCTGGGTCCTGGTATCTTTTTCTTCCCCCAGTTTCTATTTCCTGATGCCATGCATATTTTTCTAGTTTACCTCTCTCCATCACTCCTGAGGAATGTTTTCTATTTCAGATTTTAACTTTGTTCTTCAGTCACCTTAAAAGCATACACAACATTAATATGTTGCATAGTAATACAGCATAGCCAGTTTCACACCTTAAACTCTCTCTGAATGCAGCAGTACAGATGAAACACTGTGTACAACTTTTCTGTCCATGAGCTAAAAATGCTGTTGGTGTATTTTCACAGCTTCTGTATAGCTGGGAATGTAGGGAACATATGAGATGTATGAGGGTTGGACTTCTAACACTTATATATTAATCTGGATATTAGCATTGCTACTAAAGGTAGTTTCTATAATTTATAGATGTGCTATAGCGTGACTAATATTAAATTAGCTAATACTTGTGTGAGGGTTCTCTGACATATGAAAAAATGTTATCTTTATAAAATAGGTAAAGCTTAAGTGGATACATGAATGAATTTTGATTTTGTAGGTGCCTTTAGATAGTAAAAAAAATGTGGAGGTTTTTTTCTGATTCTTCCATATTTTTTTATCTTGACAGTACAAACAAGTGGAACAGTACATGTCATTCCACAAGTTACCTGCTGAAATGCGCCAGAAGATCCATGATTACTATGAGCATCGCTACCAAGGCAAGATCTTTGATGAAGAAAATATTTTGAATGAGCTCAATGATCCTCTTAGGGAGGTAAGAATAAATTACTGGAGTAACTCTTCATGGTATGGAAAACTTTCACATCTTTGCTGTTTCTGTGTTGAAATGCTCTTTCTGATTCTATTCTGTAACATTTCATCTCATTTGACCTAGTCAATGAATGACCAGGATAATTAAATTTATATTAGATTGGCACAAAGAAATAAGCAGATTTATGCTCTATTCTGAACCAGTCTGTCAGAGTCACTGTCACACAAGGATGTCAAAGAGTAAAATTCCATCCTTAAGTGTTGTCAGAAACTCATGTTTTTCTGACACTTTTTGCAACAGAGTGGAACTGGACTAGAATGGTCCTGGGTGAAAATTTTTTTTGCTTTCCCTACTTGCTAACCACCCACCTGTACAGATAAAACTGCTGAAAGCCACCACAGAGAGAGAACTTCTCTGTGAAGTAGCATCCTTGGTAAAGATGTTCTTTACTTGAGATTACAAAGCTGGAATATGATATACAAGCCATTAAAAAATCTCTTTTGTTAAACCTGTAGTCTGTATTCCAGTTTTAGGGGTTATGCTATGCTATCTTATGTGATGGGATATGTGGAAGCAGTTGGAATTTTCTTTGCAAGTTGCTTGTGTGGGACAAAGGCAGCGTTCATCTTGTAGCAGAAGTAGCTGCTTCATGGGACTATAAATCAGACTCTCTTCTGTTGGGTGCAGCTCATGTCTGATCTCCTCAAGGATGTTGGCTGATATCCTCCACTGAAAGGAGGGGGAAAAAAAGCAAAGAGGAGAAGAAGCAAGTTGAAAAGCTCAGAGAATTGAGAGCATGAACAGGGAAAAAAGGAAAGAAACAGGAAAAATCTAGGGAATTATCGCTAGACTACGTGACAGTCGAAACATGAATCTTGGCCAGTATGGAGAACAGAAGCACGTACGGACATATCAGTCACTGACATCAGAAACAGTTTCATCCATTTACGCTTTTAAGGAAAGCATTTCTCCATAAGTGAAGTCGAATACTCTTCCATTGCAAAATATTATTTTACTAACAGGAATTTGCAGTTGTTGCACTCTAATTACCTGTGTGTTCCTCTTTTCCTGCCTCCCTCTTTGTTTCCTCCCTTCCTCCCTCCCTTCCCTAGCCTTCTTACCTTCCCACCCTTTTTTCTTATACCTTAAAAGCAGCAAGGCAAATTTGGTCAACCATAAAAAACAAAAACCACTTCTGGAGAGAGATCAAGCATGGAAAATTTAAAAAATGAATGAGCCCCTAAAGACATGGAGGAAGAATAGGATTTCGTGGAGGGAATGACTTCTGATTTTGCTATGGTCATGTTGTACTTAGCATGTCTTCTTTGTTCTCTCTATTATAGGACAAAAAATTTTTTACTCAGCTATGATCAGGTTGTGCACTACTCTGATGACAACATAGTAGTGTTCCAGAGAAAGGTCAAAAAAAAAAAGAAAGAGAAAAATAAGAACTGGCCACTGGCAGTGCCAGAACAGGTTTCTCAATGAATCTGTCCAAATTTTGGTGGCAGCTCATTCACTGTGCCCTGAAAACACCCCTTAAGTGTTTGCTTAGTTAGCAGTTTCAAATTTAGCTACTGCTTCAGCATGTGCAGTTCAGTCGTGCAGGTAGTGGCTTTTTGATGTTACTAATGGATAATAAATTAGAGCCTTTTAGAGGCTTTCATATATTGGATGGGATTTACTATCTTACATGCCAACAACTGCACAAGGCTTTAATAGGTGATAGCACAGATAACCTAGCTGCATCATTGAAGAATAAATATTTACTGCATTTTTTAAGTTTGTAATTAATCCTACATTTGATTATACTTGGAATTTAGCATAGGGTAAAAATTTAGTCTCCGCAGGATGTAATTATCTTGATGAAAGTAGCTTCTGACAAAGACATTCATCTGAAACTATTATTTTCTCGCTTAGAGTAAGCAGAACAAAAGAAACCATACAATTGCTGCATAATTATAGCATCACAAAATGTTATTAAAATAGTTGCCCTGTTTTCACTACTCCTTGCTCTCAGCCATTGAAATTTACTGTATGGGCTGAAATTTTCCACAGCTAGGCTCACTTTAGGAGTGATGACCTTTTTTTTGGGTCCACGTTTTAAAATTTTGGCTCTTTTTTAGCAGAAAAGTAATTATGCATGATATAAATGTTATCATTCAACCATTAAAAATAGCTAAAGTACATAGAATTAGCATTAAAAATCTGGTGTAAAAATAGTTCTTACGTTATAAATACTAGTAATAAAGCTGTATATGCTTATTAAATCACAGAATCATAGAATCATAGATGATGTTGAGTTGGAAGGTACCCATCAGGATCATCAAGTCTAACTGCTAGCCCTGCACAGACCATCCCCAAGCATCACACCATGAGAGCCTGAGATCACTGTCTAAACGCTTATTGACCTCTGTCAGGCTTGGTGCTGTGACTACTTCCCTGGGGACCCTGTTCCAGCACCCAACCACCCTCTGGGTTGAAGAACCTTTTTCCAATATCCAACCTAAACCTCCCTGACACAATTCCCTTGGGTTCTGTCACTGATCACCACAGAGAAGAGATCAGTGCCTACCCCTCCTCTTCCCCGCAGGAGGAAGTTGTGACTGCAATGAGGTTTCCCCTCAGCCTCCTCTTCTCCAGGGTGAACAGACTAAGTGACCTCATCTGCTCCTCATACAGCTTCCCCTCAAGGCCCTTCACCATCTTCGTTGCCCTTCTTTGGACACTCTGTAATAGCTTAATGTCTTTCTTATATTGCAGTACCCAAAACTCCAAACACTATTCAAGGTGAGGCCGCACCAGCGCAGAGCAGAGCAGAGCAAGACAATCATCTCCTTTGATAGTAGAGGTTAAGACTTTATTGATAAAAGAGGACAGATAACTGTATGGAACATTCATAGTAGATTAAAATAATGAAAATCTGAGAAAAGATTTGATGAATATTTGATACAAAGGTGTGAGTGCCTAACATTGTTGGATGATAAAAACAGAATCATGTTTATTGTGGGGAACTAACTAGGTCTTCATAAAAGAAGGAAAAAAAGAATCCTGAACATCTTTAAATTTTACAATACTCTGTCTAAGTGCTTCAAAGCTGCGTAGAGCAACTAGTGGCTGACCTGTATCATTTAAGCATAATCTTGTATTAACAAACAGATTGTGTTCAATGATTGAAAACTAAGGTAGACATTTATGAGACTGAAAAATTCTATATTCTCCCCAGTTTAGTTAATTGCACAATATGGGTACATTAGTCCATTGGTAATGTAGTTAATTGGATATTTTCAGCTCTATACACTCAAACTGAATTAACCATGCACCGGAACATTTGATGTGCTACTACCTGCTCATAAGGACACATGCTCTCTGACAAAAGTAAAGGATAAAGGTTTATTTGTATTAAATCCAGAAATTTCACTCTAACTGAAAAACATATCCCCTTTTCCACAGTTAGACATCCAAATAACTGTCCAGTCTTCTCAAGAATAAAATAATCAGGAAACTCCTGGCAGTTACAATTTTGGTAGAGATGATAGATTTTAAATTGCTTCTTCCAGGCCATGCAGGGTTGGACTCATCAAACCTATCTGTAGCTCCATGCAAGTTCTGCAACAAGTCTGAGATAATCATCAGGATCTCTCTGCACATAACACCCACACACATATGCTCTCATGATAAAGAAAACCTAGCTGACTAGCTAAGGAAAAAGGCTACATCTTCAAACAGCATGAAATAAATTGTTGACATGTGAAATAAATTGTCTTTAATAGCATTTACAATAAATTCTGTCCTTAATAGCCTTTGCAATTAACTCTGTCTCTCCCTCATTTCTTGATGTAGTGATTAGAAATTGGTAACAATTAGCATGTTTCCCTTATATAAATACCATCTCTGATTCTTCAGCAGACAGAGGTACTAAAGATCACATTTTTTAACTCTGAATTCTTACCACCTACAAGCTTGAACATCATTTGGCCTCAGAAGGCCTTAGTCCTAAAAGGGGTCTTTGTAACTGTCATGACATGAAATGGAGATGGTACAGACAACACAGAAAGAAAAAAAAAAACAAACTCAACAAAAACTCCATATAGATAAGAGAAATATATTCCAAAAGAAAACCTGAAGTATAAAAGTTTAAATACATATACATAACCAGTTTCATCTTGTAAGAAATTTCAAAGTGGCTCAGCTCTGGCATTTGTCTAAGCCACCAGCCTCACTAGCAGTGGCTGTAAATGGAGGTCCACAGAAAAACAGGGTATCTGTTAATGACTCTCCTAGACTCCCAGTATTTTCAGGTTAAGGGATACTCTGAGACTGATGTGATTTGATTACAGGGCAATCCTTAAGACACATCTCTTGCGATTACTTATTTGCATTCTTGAATCTACACACTCTCTGCAACCACACCATCCTTTGTCAAGGAGCACAGACCTGTATCTTACTGCATGAGAAACCACTTCTTTCTTTTGGGATTGAACATGGCTCTGACTGTTTTATGGTTCTGATGGCCATTAATTCTTGTAGCAAAAGTGATAGTACAGTCAATTCCTACCCACTATTTGCATGACAGTTATGATTTTATGACTTACATGATAACATCCTTAACTGTGATTTTTTGGTGGTAAAGAGATATACTTTATTTAATTCTTTCCTGCATGAAGCTAGCTTACCCTTATGATCATCCTTCTTGCCATTCTCAGGTTTTTTTTCCTGGCTCCACTATAGCCTTTTAGAGCTGATAGCACCAGGTCTGCAGCTAACATACTGATGCTACAATAATACAAATAATTAATTTCCTACTAATTCCTAACATTAATTTGCTTTTTAATCACTGCCAGACATCAAGTTTTATTCTATTTTAATGTAAGAACTAACTCTAAGAGGTAATGGATACATTATTTTTTGTGTTTAAATAGGTGTGTCACTTAATATTTCTCCACACAAGGCCAGAAGAAGCTTCTTGTAGTTTCTTTTTAATAAGCTACTTCATCTTTACA